GCCACCAGCCGCACGCTGACCTGCAGGATTCGTAGAGACCGAACGTGTAGCTGGAAATGCATGCAATAGGGAGCCCCTAGTGAAATATTTTTAATTTTATCTTTATTTTTTTTTTTTAAACAAAGCTCACCGGGACTATTTGTCTCACTAAAACACAGGGGCAGAGGTCTGCCCATTTACCCGTGCTGCACAGGTTGTAACAAAAGCGAAGCCCGCAGGGGTCCAGGTCCCCCGGCTGAGGGCTAGGCAGCGCAAAAGCAAAGGATTTGCCAAACGTACCTTTGGAGGGGGGAGGTCCGGCAGGCTCTTCTGAGGAGGGGACGAATGCAGTCCTGAGTCTCCATTGGTCAGGGAGTTTCTCCGATCCAGCACTGCAAGCCAGAAAACACAATTATATCAGTGACGTGTGGCATTTCCCAGCAGAGTGCTCCCTACCCGGGGTGGCGCAGGAGCGGCGAGGTGCTATTTCAGTAGGATGCAGAGTGGCAATTACAGGCAGCACTGCAGGGCCACCGTGTCATTTCAGGCCATACCCAGGAATGTGGCACTAGGAGCCCCAGCAAAAGAGCTGGCCTCTGGTTTTTAGACATGTTTTTCCTTCTGGAGGGACAAATGTGAAGTCCAGACCCACTGCTGAAACTGTAAGGGGTCTTTAGAAGCAGAATGGGCAGACACTACACAGTATCTGGAAACCCCTAGCACTTCAGCCCTTGCTAGCTCTGATCCCTGCTGCTGCGAGCAGACAGATGGGTGGCTGTCCCCACCTCTGCTGCCTTTCCAGAAAACTGGAGCTAATACCACCCTGCTCCCTGAGCCAACTGCAAAGGTTGCTGCCTAGCTGGGCTGCACAACGCTTTACCAAAGTCAGCCAAGAACAGTAACTCAATCGCTATTGAAGGGAGAGTTGCTCCTGAAGCAGCCCAGGCCAAACATGTGAAAGGGCATATGGCAGCAGAACTGCTCCAGGCGATCCGTGTCTACCTCTGGAAAGTCAGATTTTCCAAGCAGCTGAACGCAGAGTGATTCAGTAGCTGGAGGGTACATGGGAGGCTCAGAGAACTCGTGTTCAGTCCCTCTTCCCCCACCACAGAACTCCTGGGTGGCCTCGAACAAGTGCCCAAATCCCACGACCTCCAAGATAGTGCAATGCAGCAACGCTCAGGAACAAGTGGGAGCAAGGCACCAAACAGCTGAAAAAATGAAGGACTTCGAAGGCGTTGTACTGTGCAGCAGGGAAGTCCCCTTTTACAGAACATCGCTTCTGGAGAAACAAGGCTAAGGCATTCAGATACGGCAAGTCCAGTAAATTAAAAGGGAATTGGGTGCAAAACCTGCAGCGAGCTGATGCTCTGACTGCCTTCGTCACCTGCTGATGCTCCAGCCGCATTCCTCAGGCACACACAGACACTGCCAAGGCATTGGGCAAGCGCCCAGTGGTGCTTAGGACTGCGCTCAGAAGACGCAGGCAGGAACTCTGCTGCATATTTCTGGGCTTTAAAAATAGAAGCTGGAAACCACATTACTTCGTTCACGTCTGGGGCTCGGAAGCCACGATGACAGCTCTGCCCTGCCAGGCTGCAGCCAGCTCCTGGCCTGATGGAGCAAGAGCTCAAAACACATCTCTTGTGGGAAACTGCTCCCTGGGACACAGGTCTCCTGGTCATCAGCACTGACTACCTTCAGTAAGTCAGGAGGGCACAGAGACCCATGGATCAACAGACACTGGCTCCAAGCAGCTGTTTGCACCTCACAAGTAGGGCTGCTGGATGTCTTGTGAGGTTCAAGTGGAGAAAAGCAGGCGAGTCTGCAACACAGACTGATCATGGGGAGATCCATCTACCAAAATACCCCTTGATTGTACTCCCAGAGTCATATCTACAGGCTGCTGTTGGAGGTTGGGCTCTTCTGTGAAGGACCGAGGAGATGGTGCTCTCAGGGCAGACACCTTCCGTGGACAGCAGCTGCTTTTGGAAACACCAAAAAAAAAAAAAAAAAGTACGAGATTTCCTGAAGCCCCAGCGAGCTACTACCCAAGTGGGGGTTATCTCCATATTCACAGTTGTCCACACAGGGAACTTTTTAGGGGTCTTTTAGCAGAGAGAAATGGACAGGCCAACTCGCATCCTTCTGCCCCACTCTCAGCTCCACAGAAGAGGAATCATTGCAGCAGCAAAAACCACTGCTAAACCCTTTGCAAGTGATGGCCATCTGTTCTTGACTCTCCGGCAAACCTAGCAATCATCCCACTGAACCTCACTGTGCCAGGAAAATGCTGTTTGGTTTCTGTACCAGCAGTTCCTTCTCCTCCCACCAACCTTGGAGCACGGGGTGGAGACCACAGCCTCAGTCCTCACCCTGCTGGAAACTTGCCCACCTCCATGGACACGTGCCCATGCACTGCTGAGGAGCAGAGCAAGATGTGATGGAGCTTTGATGGAGCTTTGATTTCAGGCTTTTTGCAGGAAGAACCGTCCCTTTAAACTTCATCCTGACAAGACCCCTGGGAGATGTTACGGGGTTTTCTGTTCTGAGGTTGCAGAGGGCAGCTGTGGCTCTGCCCAGCCTGTGGGGACAAGCACCTAATGCACGCTCTCTGAACGGAGAGCCCACACAGCATGTGCTGTACAAACCCCTTCCTTCTCCTGCTACGCACACCAGCACCACAAATCACAGACTGTTTCCTTAGGGGGGTGGGAGGGAAGGAGTATTTTTTCCTAGGCAAGTGTTTAACACTTTGCAGGTGTCTTCTGATAAAGATGTCTCCTTAAAACCTGGAAATTGGGGAGAATTTAGAAGAGGAGGAAGAAAAACCAGGCAGAAAGCCTGCTAAAATTCACATCTGTACAAACTGTTACTTATCTGTGCTCTCTGTTCTTTGTAAAAGTGAATCGTTCCAGGTATTTGGGCTAAGAGCACCACAGTGTGCACCAGCAGGAGCCCCACACTGCACATCAGTCCCAGCTTCCAGACTCCTGCACCTCGATCCCTCTGTGTTGACTTCCAGAGGGAGATGCCTTGACTTGAGCGGGAGATGCCTTCAGCTCGCTGAAGAGCCCCACAGACCGGTGTGGTAGAGACTTGCTGTGTTTCTCAAGTAAATGAGATCAAGTAAATGACGGTGCCTTCATCACTCTCTGCAGTGAATTCAATTACTGTGCCATAAAAAGGCATCTCAAAAGCACCTCACCGTTCAGCTTAAATCCTTACTGATGGAATTGGAAGCAGATACAGTGAGCAGGGAAATACATTTTTTGCAGGAATAGCATGTTTTAAGGTTTGGAGGGGGGCCTTGGAGCTGATGTGTTATCACCTTGGAAAGCATTTTGCCCTGCACTGCTAGGGCATACTCAAGCACAGCTACAGCGATGAAGAAACCCTGCAGGGCGTGAGAGTTCCCATTGACCTCAGCCACAAGAGCGTGGTCACCACATCCCACCACAGGATTTCAGTGAAACAAAGGGCACAGAGCGGCAGTGGGTAAAAGGAGCTGCATAATCACTGGGGGATCCATATCGCACCCCCTAGCACCAGTGGGTCCTGGGGACCCCTCCATCTGCTAAATCTGAGCCTCCAGGTCCCCCTTCTGAGCAGGCGGGCACAGACCTGTCTGTGCAGTTGCAGCAGCGGGATTGGGGCTGTACACCCAGCTGCAGCTATGGCTAAGATCCCGTACATGTGTCTCACTGACCTCAGCATTTCCAAATAACTCAGAAGTTTTACTTGGAATAGGGAGGTTGTTGAAAACAGAGAAAGAGAGAAGCACAAGGTCCCACAGGGAGCAACTGAGTGGGTAGGCTCATGGCCTTGATAGGGAAAAGTCTGATATAAAAGAACCAACTCCAAAAATAGATTGTCTGAAATTTGCCCCCGTGTTTCAGCATGGTGGATCAGTGTGAGTCTTGTTTTATCCACCCAAATAAGAACTTATATAAAGAGATGATTCCATTGCTGCTCAGCCGCTGGGAGCTACTAGGAAGCTGCGCAACCCTGTTATGGAGCACTACAGCATCACCCAGAGGGCCCTGTCTGGAGATCACACTGGGGCTTCAGGCATAGTCTGGGAGGACAGCCTGTCTTCAAGGGTATTTGAAGTTAACCTAAATTCAGCTGCAGGTAGTTTAAAAAATAAAACAAACTACCCAAACAAAAAAAACCCCACCACAAAACAATGAAACCAAACCAAACAACTCTGGAAATGGAGCTATCCCAGCTATGGCAGGACCAGCATGTCAATGGCAGGCTGCGCCGATGTGTGCTCTTGTCTCACCTATTGGGACGGGACACTGTGGGGTAAGGTCAGCTCTGACTGCCTGTGCATTAAGGAGGTGTGCGTCAGTAATCACCTCACTCTATGCAATTATCAAGACCAGCCTCTGCGATAAACCTCAAAGAGCAAGGACGTTTTTAGAGAATTATGTTCCTTCCCATGCTACAAATTCAAAACCTGGGAAATCTAAACTGGAAATTAGTATTTTATCTAGGTTTAATTTCTTGGCTTGTACTCTGCAGAACTCTTTCATCCCCTGAGAGGTGAAGGTGCTCAGCCCGCACGGCGGGCTGCGCCTGGGAACTCACCTCGCAAGGCTGCGACGACCAATGCAGAGCCCCTGGGCTAGCACAGAGCATGAGACTAAGGACGACACATGCTTTCAAGGTCTCAAAAAGGTGAAGTGACGTGTTTCGTGGCCAAAGGAAACATGAGGGCGTCCTTAAATATCTCAGGCACTGGAGCTGCAAGCCTTAGAAGGCAACATTTTCATCCCAAAATAACGCCCTCCAAAGTGCTACTTCCAGGAATAACCTCACAGTGCTGGCAAGGACCATGATTTCCAAAGGAATGTAATGAAAATGGCAGCCCTTCCACACCATCAATGCCTCATCCCTCAGAGCTGCTGGGGGCCTCCCACCAGTCCCAGTAAAGCAAGGCTCAGACCAAATGAGCCTTCACTGCCCTGTTAGATGCGAGACAACCATTAATCTTCAGCTCCCTACCTTTGTCTTGTTTCTCCTGGTCACCCTGCTGTTTATGGATGGTCACTTTGTTCATATAAATATATTCCTCATCGCCACCTGCAACCAAAGAGAAAAGTGAACTCTTTACCCAGCTGCTGCTTTCGCGTTGCTAAGTTTTCCCAAAAAGACAGATGTAAAAACTGTCTCTGCTGAGCACGTTTCGGGGAGAGTGCATTGGTTGAGGCAATGTGCAGAAAAAATCCCAAGCAATAATAAAAAGCAGAAAAATTAAACGCTTTATGGTCAGGAAATTCCATAAGTTAAAATTTCTCCTTAAACATTAACTTGGCAAAACAGTACATCCTGTGTATCTTACAAAGTGGATTAAATAAACTTAAGGTTTAATAAGGAAAACAGAAAGTATCAGCAATCTTGAGAATCCTTTGCTTGTAAAGCTGGACATATAACTACAGTAATTTTACATAAACAATTAGAGGTCACTGCAAAAATAATCCCCATTTCATTTTCTCCTCCTAATTGTCGTGTCTCCTCTTCCCACCAGCCTCCAAGAAAACGTTGCTTCAAGACCCCGTAGCAGTTCCCACAAAGGCCCACTGCCCCATCCTTGGTTTTCCTTGCCCATACCGCTGGATTTGGTGTAGACCCGCAGAAGGTCGGAGAGGAAGCTCTTCTTCACAACAGCAGTGCTGCTCAAGTTCTCCTTGTCCAGTATCCTCAGAAAATCTTCAAGTTCTGTGAGCAGCTGCTCGAGAGCTACGACAGCAACAGAGACAACGGTTGGCAAAGCAGTTAGGTGGCATTTCAAAAGAGGACGTACATTAGTTCTGAATTTTCAAAGATCCTCTGCATTTTTCTGCCCAGGAATAATTCACATCTAGTTTTCCTGCTTGAACCCTCCCTCTACTTTTGAAAAGAAAGTGGGTCCCAAAACCAAAAAGGCTCCAACTTCCCTTAGTCTGTTCATACACCAGTAAAATCCCAGTAAATGTTCTTCTTCCTGTAGGACTTTTTGCTCAAAGTGGAAAAAGCCTGGAGGGGTTTTGAGCATTAGGGCTGAGATTACACAAAAGCAGCTAGCAAGATCTTGACGCTTGAATCTTGAGTCCGTCATTCAAACCTCATCTGGATTTGGATCTACCAAAGACTCTGCTTTCTGGTTCCTCTTTCCAAGCCTCCTCCTTATTTCTCTGTCTGTAATGATTTTAAAACATTTATGTGTCCCCTCAAAACAGACAGACACGCACACAAAAAAGGTGTACGTGTAGTTTACAATTCGGAAACTTCTCAAGCTGTCTTGCTTGAGTAGTGACCGCAGAGATCATTGCACCACGTGGAACCGAAGACCCAAGACCAAGCAGCATCTCAGACACCCTTGGGAAAACCCGCCATACTGAAGACATCCCTGTGCACCCGCGACAAGCGGCTCGGCCACGCGGCTCCCCAGTGCTGCCGGCTCAGCCGGGCTAATAGGTTTGTTTTCCTCCCGAGGAGCTGTTACTCAGCTCGGCCACCGACAAATCACTTCTCTGACAGGGCTCGCACTGAAGCAACAGGCGTTTAATTGCTTGCTTTTGTTCGCGCCAAAGTTTATCGTGGGCTAATTAGCAGCAGTGGCAGGAGCCTGTTCCAGGGAGGAAATAACAGAGTATTATGTGGGGAGAGGAAGCACTGCACAAGAATGACGGTGCGTGGGAAAAGCATGGAAAACCCATCCGGGACTGTTCCTCCCTGTTGGAGGCTCCCCCGCCACCCCACTCCATCAGTCCCCGACACGAAGCAGCTGCAGGGGAGATGGGTGGCGAAGCTCGGGTTTGCTGGCCAGGCTCCCCACTCCATCAGTCCCCGACACGAAGCAGCTGCAGGGGAGATGGGTGGCGAAGCTCGGGTTTGCCATGGCCAGGCTGCAAACCCGGCTGTGACTCCTCAGCACACCACCAAGGAATATGACACATGGATAATTTAACTGGGGCAATGCTCCATTCTCTTTACTTACAGCATTTCCATGCTGTGTGTTCCCATGGTACCCCTGTGAGTCACAGTACACACCAGTGAACTAGAAAAGTGTTAGTATTTTGGTTTCAGAGGGCAAAACATCTGAAGTGTATCTAGTTAGGTGCTACCACGTCCAAGGTCACAAAGAACATTGGTGTAAGACCAGGACAGAGCCATCACCTTCTTACTCCCCCATCTTTAGCCACCAGGAGACCCTACCCCAGGTAAATAGTCCCCACGTTAGAATATTGATAAATAAAGCATAAATTACACTGTAAAGGTTTATGTTGCTAGCCATTAACTGAAAAAGATGCTACTGCTCTCAAACTGTATTAATCTTCACTACCTTGACTGTAGAACAGTCTAATGACTCCAAACCAATCAATAACGGCTGCAGAGGAGATTACCAACTGGTAGTTCTTCACACTTCGTTTTATACCCTCTACACCCAATTAATTCTCTCCTCATCTGATTTAGGACCACGGCAATGGAAAATGCCTGTATCACACTGTGTTAACTTGAATGTTTTTGCTAGCTGCCGTTTTGCCCAGCTATAAGACGCTGACATCCAGAGAGAGCAAGAATCACCTCAAGAAACAAACCATAAGGAAAGAGGTAGTATTTGGTGACAACAATATTACATGTCACTGGTATCATTAAGCAATGAACTGTGAGCATTTGGTGTCAAACACACTTGTAACCTGCTTCTCTTAAGCTCCAAGGACCCTACATCTCCTAAGTTTAAGGAAACTCCACTGGTGTAAATCACAGCCCTGCTACACTTGCTCATCTGCTTTGGTGGCCCACTTCAGAAAATTTAAATTGAGGTCAGTTCCTTCTTGTCAGGCCTAAATATATGTTCCTCTTAGTGGACAGGACATTTGTGTGTCAGGAATGGTATCAGAAGAAACACAGCACAAAAAATACCTAATTTGAAGCTTCAGAAGAGAGTCAGCTCCCAACAGCTGCCCACATGGAAGTCACGATACCATGTTTGCAGGGAAGGGGGTATAATTCCCATTCCCTCCTCCACCCCCACGACTGCAGAAAATGACTGTATTCTTCTCCCAAGCACCACAGCTAGCGCACACACAGGGCTGAGCTCTCATGAATAGCACAGCCCATACAGTAGGTTACATTTTCCAGCCCACCAAAGCTGAATTCAGGCTTCTAGTGACTCAAAGCAACTCATTTAGGACGTGATCCTGGGGTCACAGAGGTCAGTGGAAAGACTCTGTCAGACTCCAATGGGTTCAGACTTCAGGGACTCAAGAGAGATTCATTTTGCTCCTCTTCAGCAAGAAGCAGCACATAAACCAGCTGCTTCTATGCAAGGATCTCTTCGATCTCAGCTGGACATTCTCAATTCAAACCTGAAACCTGCAAAAATAAACTGCCATTGAAATGAACATGAACGTTTGTTCCCTCATATCAGAAGGAGAACAAGCTACTACTTATTAGAGTGATCACTGTGAGAAGTAAGAAGAATTAATACAATGATGGTCTATAAGATCCTCTGTGCAAGCAAGAATCGCAGCAGGTGAATAGGACTGGAAACAGTTGAGAGGCCATGTACATCAAACCATCTCAGGATTTTGAATGCTGGAACCCACTGCTTGATCTCAGCTAAAGACCTATCACACTGTGGTGATGATGTATTGAACACGCTGATGGCAAAGCCAGGTTGGTGGTTACCCAAAGCAGCCCGAAACAAATGGCTCTCCCTCCAAGCTGCTTTGTTTTGCTCTCCTTATCTTAGCTGGTTAGAAATGAGAGCATGTAAAGAGGTGATTCCAGTAGCTGGGCTTGCTCTGCAGGGCAATAGTTACAGGTGCAAAGAACTCATTTGCAAAATGAAATGGCTGTGAGCAGCAGGAGAGCTTGGAAGCAGACAGAAGCCCAAGTCACAAGGCAGTGTGATTCTCAGAGATGCTTTTGAGGAAACTCCTTCCACAGCTACACTGCTCTTCTCAATTCTGGTAGCTCTTCTTCATGAACCCCCAATTACAATGTGACTCAAGTAATCTTTCTGGCACCATTCTCAAGTAAAAACTTCCACAGCACTTACAAAAATTCAGCCTACTTCATGGAAAACAGGAGATTACCCCCAAGGTCAAGACTGGCCCAGAAGAATTAAAAGACTTGTCCAAGGTCACTGTGAATACCTCTACTGAATGCAGTCCTCCCAGGCCCTGGGATATGACCTACTCCATCTCCTTACCAAAGCATGGCCACACATGTAGAGCACCATCAGATAGCGCAGCACAGCTCAGATCATGCTGCTCGCCTCTCTGCCCACGGCTATTAGACACTGAATAAAACCATAAGGATTTTGCAACACATGATGGAGAGTGGGGTAGGACCATCAGTCAATAGAAAACTTGGCTGATTTGCATCTGCAGTGAGTGGGTGATCATCACTGAAAGGACTTTAAAGTATATAGAAAACATCACATCTTTACTGAGGTAGTAAGGACTTACAGGGGATTACAACCAGAACTACCAGCTCCTCTTGCATGCACTGAAGCAGAGGATGAGAGATATTCTCCCTCCCTTTACTCCACGACAATGCAACCTTTTTTTAAGAAGCTCCTGGGTAGCCCTCTGACCAGAGCAGGCTTTCTCTGTTGGAACTGTTTGCAACTTTGGTTGCAGCCATACGCAAAGCATTGCTCGCAACACGACTGATCTGGTTCAACAGCAATTCAGTGGCAGGAGGGCAGCACTGAAAAGGGCTTCTTTTGGCAGGAGTCTGTGGCCTTTCTCTGCAGACAGAAAGCCTCTTGCACCGCAGCAGTGTCTATCCTAGTTCATGTGAAGCTAGAGCCAAAAAATGCAGCAGCTTGCAAAGCCCCATTGAGGAAGCACATTCCTTGTGAAAGAGCTGCCAATTCTGCCCGACACCAAGGTCACTGAAAGGTAAATGACCATTAAACTAGATTATAAAAGCCATTCCTACCAATAACTACTGATCTTTGTCATCTTGCTACAATAACAACCTATGTCTACATCTAATTACTTCATGTCTTGGCCTTATGAGGAAATGGGAAGACAGGCTCAGAATGAACTTTCATTCAAGTGTTTTAGCAACGACTGGGCAGGATTATATTAGACCATTTAATCTAAATTCAATTATTTATTTTATCAAGGTAGAGGGGCCTCAGCCACCGGACAAAGAGCTGTAATAAGATACATACTAAGAGACAAACTCTTTCCTCTACTGAGATGAGAGGTGAAAGATAAGAAGCATCATCTGCTAACAGGAAACGAAGGCACGGAGAGATTAAATGATTTGTCCAAGGATACGGGCATGTTCTCCAGCGGATCAGGAATACAACTCAGTTTTCCTGTGTCCCAGCCTGCAGCTCCCACTCCTAAACCACCCTTCCTTGGATCCTTGAGTGCTGGGAGATTTCCCGCCCCCCTGCCAAAAGCAGGAGCTGGGTTTGGTACTTTCGGCTTCACCTCCGCTACAAGGGGCTGGGCTACGCTGCTGGCAAACAGCGCCGACACAGGCACCCAGTAAATACCTGCAGCCTGGGGCGTGCCAAGCTTTTCGCTTCAAAAGCCTTGGGAAGTCCAGAGACAGTGAAACTGCTAACAGTGCTCCGATTCACCCAAGCATCGGAGGCAGCAGGAGCGGGGGGGTTCCCGCAGGGCACCTTGAGGTACCCGCGCATCCCCAGAGAGCCTCCTCCATCCAGGACATCCCATGGCAGCCTTTCGGTCCC